CAATATCTCAGGGGTTGCCATAAAGAAGTGGGAGTCAAGCTATTTTCCAAAGCGCCTGAGGGCAGGACAAGAAGCAACGGATGGAAACTAATCAAGGAGAGAAGCAACCTAGAACTAAGGAGAAACTTCCTGACAGTTAGAACAATTAACCAGTGGAACAACCTGCCTCCAGAAGTGGTGAATGCTCCAACACTGGAGGTTTTTAAGAAGAGACTGGACAGCCATTTGTCTGAAATGGTATAGGGTTTCCTGCATGAGCAGGAAACTAGATGACCTAGATGACCTCCAAGGTCCCTTCCAACTTTACTAATATTATTATTATTATTATTATTATTATTATTATTATTATTATTATTATTATTATTATTATTATTATTATTATTGCCCGAAGGCTATGTGTGTCTCAGTGGGGATCAACAGGCCGAACCCTGGTAATACAAGAGTGGCTGTGGGTGTGGGGTTCCTTTGTATCTGGAGGTTTATTATCTTTGGTCTTGGATGGAGCAGCATTGCACCAGGCAGACCCAATGCATAATCTGGAGATTCTCTTGGACTCATGACTCCTACTTGTGGCTAGGAAGGCTTTTGCTCAATTACTTTTGAAACCTACTTGCCATGAAGCCAGGTTACCACCCTAAAAGATTTGCCACCTTTTAATTTTAGAATTTATTTTATCTTTGTTTTTATTTGGCTCCTGTTTTACTGGACTTGATAGATATTGTGTATTCATATACTGTAGTTTTAATGCTTTTATCTGCATATCTGTAAATCACTCAGAGTCATTCTGAGAGTAAGGTTGGATAGTATCTAAATTTGATGATAAATTAATATTATGTAGAATGAATTTATAAGATAAAGATGTTCTGACAGGATTACATTTGTAATTATTGTATGGTATAATGTACATTTCATTAGATGCTGAAAATGGCTTTGAAGAGATTTCTTGGCAATCACAATTTCTAAAGTGGGATTTCCTTTTTTGAAGATTTTCCTAAAAGTTTACATTTTGCATTGGCATTATTTATCCAATCACTCAATCATATGTGGATTACCAGTACGTTTTTTTAAAAATTAACTTCTGTGGTATCATTACAAATCCCCTCATTCTTGAACTTGAGTCAAGGGATTTCTACCAAGCTCACAGTTGTAATGTAGCTTTCTTAATTTCTTAATCACTTTTGGAAATTGTTTCTTAACTGCTTTTCAACTATTAAGAATCTTTGGACCAATATTTTTTTATAGCGCCAGGTGAGTTTCCTTCAATCCTTAGCAAAATAAATTTTAGATACAAATTTAAGGACTATATATTTTTTAAATAAACAGCAGAAGGTGATTAGAACTTTGATGTTGGAAGTAATGGACTAAGAGCTCAGATGGATTTATGAGTAAGATTTTGAAACTGTAAGAATCCTTCCTGTGGGAAAATGCTGTTGTTTTGAATTTTTAAAACAAAACATGATATGATGGGACTTTGAAGCTTGAACACAAGAGGAAAACAGAAGGAACTAAAAATTACAATTAAAGAACAACATTTAAATTTGACCTACTAATGCAAAATGGAGCAAAATGCTTTTACAATGGACATATTGAAGGTTATTTGTGAACAATGGATCCAGAAGTTAATTTTAAAACTGTCTGCTATTATAGTTAGACTATCTTTAAAAGATGACAGAAGAGGAATAAGTTTTATTGGATAAAATTGAGACTGATTTGAATGTGGATTTAAAAATAACAGACTATAAGAATGATATGGAAAAGATACTACACAGGATATACAAATGGAACTGGCTGAAATCTTAATTAAAAGGAACATATACATAACAAACCAAGAGTGATTTGGATAGCTTTTCTATATTGGATTTACAAGACAGTTGCTAAACTTTTGAAGGATCTTTTAAGAAGTGACAAAGAAAAATGAAAAACAACAACTATGTTCTAGGACCGGGTGTCAAACTGCTGGCCTGCAGGCTGGTTGCATCATGCGGAGGCCGTGCCCACCCCAGCTCTGGCAATGCAAAAAAAGTTGCAATATGTCGCAACATGTCACGTGATGCAGCGAGTTTGACACCCTGTTTTAGGACATTATTTGAATGGATTAAAGATCAAGATTGTTAAAAGCAGGAAGTATAAAATTGGTTTCTTTTGCCAAGATTAAAATAGATATGTTATCTCTGGTAACCTTTACTAGAGATTTGCTGACCAGTATTGATCAACAAGACTTTAAGGATTTGTTTATAGATAAAAATTGAGGTATGGGAAGTAGAAATCATTTGCTGTATTTTAAGGGAAGGTGATCAGTTACTAAAATTGTTTATGCTTGTTGTGATGAAGAGGGAAGATATTTGTTTTTTCGTTGTTGTTGTTGTATTCTTTTCTATTTTCCTTTCATTTTTTTCCTCTTATTTTCTACACTTTGTTTTTTATTTTTATTCTTCTATATTTTTAGTTTGCATTAGTTTTTATCTTTTTAATTGTTATGTTTAATAAGATAAAGTAACCTTTATTGTCATTTTTTTTTTTTACTGTGGGCACAACGGCACACATCAAAAATGATTGTAAAAAAGAGTACATGCCTATATTAGCAAATAAAAACATGAAAGAATGCTTGAAAGAAAAAAGAATCCCTTCATTCTCCTTTTTTTGTTTGTTTTTAGAATGTCTGCTTTGAAAGTTGAAACCCTGAAAATATTAAAGGTACTGTAGTAGGAATGTATCAGACAGAGATTACTGTATGCATTATGTTCTATAACAGTGGTTCTCAACCTGTGGGTCGGGACCCCATTTGGGGTCGATCGACCATTTCACGGGAGTCGCCAAGCAAGGCTGTCCGCCATTTTTTTCCCCTTTTCCGGCGGGTGCCTTACCTCCCTTGGGCTGGGCCAGCTGGTGGTCGGCCTCCTCCGTCTCTGCCGCTTGCCAGCTACGCCTCGGCCAGTGCAGGGGGCGGAACCACGCATGCGCGGTGCTCCCGGGCAGGGAAAGTCCTCGACTTACGACCGGTTGGGTAGTCCTCGACTTACGACCGGTTTAGTCCTCGACTTACGACCGGTTGGGGTCGCGGCATTAAAAAGGTTGAGAACCACTGTTCTATAATGTAAGTTACCACAGCTTTACATTCTCATAGTATTTATAAATTTTAGTATTACCCGTGTTTCCCCGAAAATAAGGCCGGCTCTTTTTTTTTTTTTTGCCTCCAAACGAGGCACCAGGTCTTATTTTAAGGGGGTGTCTTTTATATTCAACTCTGGCACTGACAGCCCCGCACAGCTGGCCCACTTCTTCTGACCGAAGGAGCAGCTTCATTCTGCAGCTGCATTCCGGCCTGTATTTTGCAGTCAGGCCTTTCCGGAAGGCCTCTGCAGCCGAGTACCGAGCTATGGATTCAATCCATAGTTCAGTTCTTGGCTGTAGTGGCCTTCCGGAAAGACCTATGACTGAGAAATGCAGGCCTGGCTGCAGAAGACACCACAGAAGAAATGGGCTAGCGAGGAGAGTCCTGGCTGCAAGGTGAGTGGGTGCGGGATGTGTGGGGCAGCTCCACCCCCCCACCTCCACCCTAGCTTGATTTTTTGGTGTGTGTCTCGCCCCAAAACTAGGGCTTATTTTCAGGTAGGGCTTATATTAAGCCCACCCCCAAAAATCAAGCTAGGGCTTATTCTCGGGGTAAGCCTTGCTTTTGGGGAAACAGGGTACTTATGTCCTTTTATAGTTACGTATCCTGGATATTTATAGCATTTAGATTATTTATCATACAATTAATATTGTAGAATTTTGCATTTTCATTCCTGTATTCTGTAATTCTGTCTTTACCTTATTTTATCAATATGAATTTTTATTTCTATTTTAGCATAATTATTACATTAGCTCTATGCTAATGTATGACTAAAATAACATTGAAAAAAAATAATTAAGATTTCCAGGCTAGTTAGTTTTGAAAGAAATAAAAAAAATGTAGATAGATCGATGCTAATTACAGTATATTTAAAATAATGAATGCCCTGTTCTTGCAGATTAGAAGATGATTGATTTATAAACTATAAACTATCAATTCTTTTAATCTAAAATGAGATTTAATATTGAAAAATTATACATACATCAGATATCCCTGATGTCGGGATTGACAATGAGACTCTAGTTCCTTAGAGATTTATTTATTTATATCCCACATTTTTACAAATAAGTCAAGGCAGCGAACATATCTAACACACCTTCCTCCTATTTTCCCCACAACAACAACCCTGTGAGGTGGGTTGGGTGAACAGAGAGTGTCTGATCCAAAGTCACTCAGATGGCTTTCATAGTCAGCAGCTATGTAAATACCTAACTTCCAAGTATTTGTTAGAAGTTGATCATGAACCAAAAGTGTGATTCAGCTGCCAAAGGCCAATGTTATTTTGTGATGTACATCAAATCCAGATCACAGGAAACAATTATTCCCTTCTGCTCTTTCTTTGTGAGACCTCACTTGGTATATTGTATCCTATTCTGGGTACCATAGTCTAAAAATGGACATGACAAAATAGAATAAGATCAGAAGAGAGCTATTAAGTTGATGAGGAGCCTCAATGGGAATCGGTCTGCTTAAGCGCTGTAGAAGTCCATGCGTGCTGATGTGCAGTTAGATAAAATTAAATATTGTCGTTGCAATTAAATATGCCTCATTTTTTAAATTAATACCATTTGTTTTTCTGTCTCATTTTCTTTGCTTATCATAATCTAAAGTACTAAGACAACATTTGTTAAAATAAGCAACAATGTAAATTCTTTAGACTAAAGTTGTAACAATATTTTGTGATAGACTTAATGCTGTTAAAAAGATAGGAATGGAATGGAATCCCTCCCTCCTTCCTTCCTTCCTTCCTTCCTTCCTTCCTTCCTTCCTTCCTTCCTTCCTTCCTTCCTTCCTTCCTTCCTTCCTTCCTTCCTTCCTGTATATATGTCTCAAATTTTCATATTTTTAGTAATCCCATGTTTTTATGCATGCATTTATTTCAGACACTATTAGCTACTTAAAGTAGCTGAATCATGGCTCAGTTTCCAACACCTTTTGGAGGTAAGCATTAAATTATTTCTGTGACACTTCTTTTTAAGGGAGAAAACACTATTTCATTTGTGTTAGAAAAAGTACTCTGATTTGCAGAGCCAAAAGTCATGTATCTCATTCTTCAGAATAATTATAGAACTTAGCAAAACAGCTTAGACAAAGGACATCAGGATAGCTGGAGATAAAAGCAGCCCGAACAAGAGCTAGAGAAATAATTTTGAAGTCCAAAGATTAACATATTGGATGGCATTGGTGATGGGGGCTGTGTCAGAAGTCAATTGGCTACTTCCCTCTTAACACCATTCATACAGTAGTAGTAATAGAACATTTTCTCTATTGTCTCTGATTTTAAAAATGCAGAGGCATTTGATCATCAGAAATATATTCATGGCTGGTTTCTACTGATCACCTGCCAACTTCATTTATGTGAACTCCAATTCTTCAACTTGTATTTTTGTTGCTCTTTAGATTATTATAGTGAATATTTTCTTTTTCTTAATTAGTGAGCTTTGCTTCCTTCAACATGAGATGGAAGGCATTGTTCAATCCCCTTTCAATTTGTGGATGTTTAAAAGGAGTTTGACAATGTTTAAATTCTTCATAGCTCCTTAAGAAACTACACCATTATTTATAATACCTATTTTTCCTCTTTTAATTTCTTTGTTATGAATTAGGCAGCTTGGAAATTTGGGCCATAACTGTGGAAGAGAGAGCGAAGCATGATCAGCAATTTCACAGTTTGAAACCAATATCTGGATTTATCACTGGTAATGCCAAATATTCATTCTGTTTAAGATCATCCATAGTATCGTGTAACATGTTTGTTTCCCTAAAGCCTCCGTCCAACAGCCAAACTGGTAGTGTTGCAAAAGTTCATTGTTATAGTAAGGTAGAAGACAGTGCATACATGCCTACAAGATAATATTCTGCTCAAAATATGATCTGGAGTTGTAATTTTAAAAGAATCACTAAAATTTTAAGAAATTATGTTCTAAATTTATTGCTACTTTTTGGTGTTTTGCCTATCTCATCCCCCCAATAATCTATATCACTGAGTTCAGCAAAAAAATAATAGCAATAAATTCACTTCACTATTGCCAAGACTGGGTGTGTCCTAGCCCAGGAGAGGCGTTGCAAGTTTGGCTGACTTGATCTAATGGGCAGGAAGACAGAGCTAACCCATTGGTGGATTCTCCATCTCCTGTGCTGGAGAACAGCAGAGATACATTTCTGTATGATTGTTTTGAAGCTTCTTTCAAACCCTATTTTCACAGCGCATATAATGTAGCTTGAAAGCTCAAACAGCGTAACAACCCTATGTTTACTGCATGTGCATAATCCATAATTTTTCACTTGATAACCTACCTCAAACAGAAAGCAAAACACAGGGACGACCCTCTCCAAAATATAGAAAGAGACAATATATTATACCAGAAAATTTAAAAATACCAGAAAGCTTACTTATTGGCAAACAGCAGTATATTGTTACTTGACTCTCCTTTCTTCCAATTGACATGTAGACGATAGCAACAGCAATGAAACCTCTGCATATTTTTTTATTACCGTAATTACTGCACTCCAAATTTGCATGGTTTTAGATTTTATTTTAAAAAAATTATAAGACGGCAGAATGACTGAACTATATGAAATAAAAGCCACCTAGAGTAGCCCCAGGCGAGCTAGGCAGCAAATAAATTTAACATAAATAAAAATACATACATTTTAGAGCAAAACATTTGGAACATGGGAGATTTTGTTCTAAAATTGAAAGACTTGAAATAAGTTTAAAGTGTTGGCACCCCCATATTAGAGACTCTAATATGTCACTCTATAAGTGAAATGGGCCGTCTCTAAATTTAATGCATAAAAGAAATAAATTTAGAGCTATTGGTGGCATTGTTACAAATAAAAATCTAAAAAAATAGCAGTGAACAACTCACAACAGAAATAAAATGTTTTCACAATATTCTGCAATTTGACAAAAATGGCAGTATTATACAATACATTGAAAGTGGCCTTCAAAAAGGAAGATTTTTAACAATGTCCAGAAAACTGTTATCAAAAATATGAGACAACTCCTTTGGAAGAAATTCCAAGCTTAGGTGCAGTCATTGAAAATCCTGGCTCCCTATTGTCAATATTGTAGTTCTGTTTTTGACAGTTAAATGGAATCTTTGTGTTCATGATGTAATGTGCTTATAAATATCTAATGTTAGGGAGAAATGGAGATAATGTAATAATCCAGGACTATTAGGGAGTTTTCAGAACATCTGTTCTCAATCTGAGCCAGCAGAATGTTCTGACTCTGTTTTAGAGTAACTATTGACTTCATGAACTACTATATCTTTTTATTATGCTCTTTTGGTATCTGCTACTTTACGTTCTAGAAAAACATTCCCTAAAAATTATTTTTAGTTCATTTGATTATCTCTAGAACTATTCATTCTCCTCCCCAAATCCACCCACTGGGAGAGAAAAAAATCCCATTTTCATGGTAGTTTCACTTGCTTTCTTTTTCAAAATAATTTTTTTTGTAGTTTTGCAAACTGGTAACATTGAGTTTTCTGGCATGCTCAAGAATGAGTAAAGCTGTTCCAGAATGAACATGGAAAACATTATTTAATGGTAGAAGGAATAATTCTGACCTATCACAATAGCTGTTGTAAGAATTACTGATATTCTTTGAATAAGATAAAATAACAGCATTAATTATTTACTGTGGGGAAAGGAACTTTTGATGCTCCAGGTTCCTTTGGAATTATACTTTAATTTCAGATGCTCTAACAGGATAGGTGATAAAGGTTTTATGAATATAGTTCAATAGCATTAGACACCATCGGTTCCTTACTAGTACTTTTTTATTGCTATTTGTACAAGTTTACATTTGAAATAATACATTTCTTTTTGGTAGGTGATCAAGCCAGGAATTTTTTTTTTCAGTCTGGTTTACCTCAACCAATTTTAGCACAGATATGGTAAGTTTGATATTTCATCATTTGGGGGGGGGATAATATTTAAATTATGGTGATACAGTGATATTCTGTTTTAAAATTTCACCTAGAAACCAGAATATTGAGTTCTAGTCCCGCTTTAGGCATGAAAGCCAGCTGATGACTTTGGGCCAATCACTCTCTCTCAGACCAACCCACCTCACAGGGGGAATGTTATGGGGAATATAGGAGGAGAAGAAATACTTTGTTTTCCACCTTGAGTTACCCATGAAGTAATAAAGACAGGATAAAAATATTTTAAAAATGAATAAAATAAATTTTATCTATAATATACTATGAAATACAAAGGCTGTAGGCTTAAATGGGAAGCGAAAAGTATATCCTGGAGGAGAATTACATGGATGTGTCAGTGAAGTTGCCAATAGATGGCCCTAATTTGAAGGAGGCATTTCCTTTATAGTATGAGTTCTTAGAACAATATTTTTGATAAATATTGTTTTTGTGAAACATTTTTTTCTAAAGAATTAAGGGAAATATAAAAATGTCAGTCCAGTACATTAGCAAATTAATCTTTCTGTAGCTATCTTCTTTCATTAGGTATCTGAATTATCAGAATAAACAAATATAAATAATGTTTGATTCTAAGATTGGAAATAAATTTAGCAGATAGAATGAGTTTTCTCATTGTCTAGAGTGAATAATTAGATACTGAAATAATAGGATGTTACTTAATAGCCTCTAGTTAGAATGTTTATGTGATTATATATAATGTATATTCTAATTCGTTAAAAAAGTTACTAAGAACATTTAAGAATCCTTTGTTATATAAGGATTTAATTTCATCCTGTGTATTCTGGTATAATTTTGATATAAAGGATGGTAATATTTTTATTTGCATCTTATAATATTTTAGAATATGTAACTGGATATTTAAATTTTCTTGAGCTTTGAAAAACCTATCAATGGTAAAATACTAGCCTTTTAAACAATTTCTAGTAGCTAAGACAATTTATTATAAAGGTTAAGGTTTATAATGAAATGAAACTCAAATGGTTTTCGAAATAGTAACTAAATTTAAATAGCCATACTGTTCCAATATATTTTCTGAAAACTATGTTCTTTAGGATTTTGATTAATTTGATCAGTTTGATTAGTCTTGATACTATAGATAGAATTACTAGAGGTGAAATAGAGAACTAGAAGATGAAAATACTATGTAGTATTTTGTAGATATTTCAACTTCATTTTTATCAATTGTTATAAAATACTATGTAACACTATGCAATATTATGTATTTCAAGTGTAGAATTAGGCATCTATTTTTAGGCTATAGCTAAGTTTTTTTATTATAGTATTCAGTTATTGTTACTGGATTAACTGTGGCTGTTGCTTTTGTATACAACTTAGTTACCTTAAAAATTGATAGAGAAGGAAAGGGAAAAATTTTAATAGGCAGTTTATACTGTTCCTTTTGTAAATACAACCTTAGCATTTCTGTGAAAGTGATAACATTTTCCTATGTGAAAGAGATAAATATTTTAGCACTGTCAGAGTAATTATTTCCATACTTCCTGTTACAGCCACAGTCCAGTTCAATTTTGAGAATGTTTTGAGCGTATAAGGTGATAAAACAGACTTCCTTTAAAGTTGCTTACTGTGGGTTGTTTAATACAGTGCATTCAGAAACTATTCGGACCCCCTTCACTTTTTTCAGGCTACAGGCTGATTCTACAGTTTTTGAAATTCATTTTTTTTTTATCATTAATCTATTACTCAGTACCCCATAGTGACAAAGGGAAAACAGAATTCTAGAAATGTTTAAAACAACAACTGAAATATCACATTGGCATAAGTATTCAAACTCAGTACTTTGTTGAAGCACCTTTGGCAGCAATTACAGCCTCAAATCTTTTTGGATATGATGCGACAAACTTTGCACACCTAGAGTGGGGGGTTTTCTGCCATTCTTTCTTGCAAATCCTCTCAAGCTCAGTCAGGTAGGATGGTAGCCATAGGTAGACAGCAATTTTCAGGTCCCTTCAGAGATGTTCAATAGAGTTCAATTCAGGGCTCTGGCTGGGCCACTCTAGGACATTCACAGAGTTGTCCCTAAGCCACTCCTGTGTCATCTTGGCTGTGTGCTTAGGACCGTTGTCATGTTGCATAGTGAACCTTCTGCCTAGTATGAGCGCTGTGGAACAGGTGTTCATTGAGGATATCCCTGTACTTTGCTCTATTCAGCTTTCCCTCAACCATGACCAGTCTCCCAGTCCCTGCTGCTGAAAAACACCTCCACAGCATGATGCTGACACCACCAAGCTTAACTGTTGGGATGATATTGGGCAGGTGATAAGCGGTGCCCGGTTTCCTCCAGACATAACGTTTAGAATTGAGGCCAAACAGTTCAAGCTTGGTTTCAATAGACCACTGAATCCTGTTCCTCACGGTCTAAAAGTCCTTCAGGTGCTTTGTTGCAAACTCCAAGAGGGTTTTCTGTGTTTTGCACTGAGGAGAGGCTTCCGTCTAGCCACTCTGCCATAAAGCCCAGATCGGTGGAGGGCTGCAGTGATGGTTGTCCTTCTGGAACTCTGTCCCATCTCCACAGAGGATCTCTGGAGCTCAGTCAGAGTGACCATCGGGTTCTTGGTCACCTCTCCTACTAAGGCCCTTCATACTTTCTGAATGCACTATAGGTGTCCTCTTAAAAAGAAAGAGCCAGCACAGTTTGAACTATTTTCATCCTTTCTTTTGCAATGAAATTTAATGCTTGATAACTCTGCCTTGTGGCTCTGATTCAGTTCTTGTTAGTTTCAAGTAGAAGTAGAAAAAATATTATTTTAAATAATTTCATTCTGTATCAGTAATTTGCAAAGTGATATTAATTTTAGTGCTATGAATAGTTTTAAAACACCAATTAATTTTACATTAATTCATTAAGATGAACTTTAGATTTAATTTTGGTTCAGTTCCTGGTAAAGGAATTTGGAGTATGTCTGTCTAATAAGAAGAAAAACATCACCAGTTGCTTTCTGTTGGTTACTAACTGGCAAAAATGTTAATGACAGGAGTAATGTATGAAAATAATGCAAGAAAGTAATTGGCTCTGTTCTATATCACATTAGCATAAACCGTGTATTACAATTTATTTGAAACCATTCGTTTCATTTAGGATGTGTATTAACCTGGAAAATCTCTAGTATTACCTTTTTAACATTCAAAGTTCATAGTAATATTAAGTTGAAATCTAATACATCTGGAGATTATTATGTTAAAGAAAAGCTGGTTTAAAAAGTCTTGGGCAGAGGAAAAATATTCTAGAGCGAGCTTGCATATCTCTTAGAGAGGAAAGAACCAGATTAATACCTTAGAAATAATCACAAGCCACTAAAGAATAGCTGTCATGCTGTTAGGCATCCAGGAACAGCAAAACAATATGGAGTTGGCAATGTCTGTGAAGCCTAGAGGTGTTGGAAATGCTTGGCAGTATGATTTACATGACAGTGGTGGTAATTTTTAGTGGTGGCAGACTTAAGTTTTTTTAAAAAAATGCTTGTTGGTCACACAGGGCTGTTTGGTAGACTGCATCTTGTCCAGCCCTGTTCTAGAACTTTAAAATCACTCTTTGAAAACTGATGCTATCACAATATATAATACTGGACTGTGTGGACCAATGACTACCTTAGGATAAAAAGATAACATGAGAAAATGTTGGCACTGTAATATAACTTTTGTTTGCTTTTGGATGAATTTGCAAGATTCTTTTTTAAAATGCTGATCATTTCAGGGCTCTGGCAGATATGAACAATGATGGGAGAATGGACCAACTGGAATTTTCTATAGCTATGAAACTTATTAAACTAAAGCTACAAGGTTATCAGCTCCCTTCTGCATTACCTCCTATTATGAAGCAGCCTCCCATTGCTATTTCGACTACCCCAGGATTTGGTAAGAATATTTTATATTACATCATCTTTCTGAAGTACTTTGTAGATTTCATATTGTCTACATACTGTCATTCTATTCAGAGATCACTTTAATACAATTGTAACAAACATGATACAGATTTTCACTTATGATATAAATATCTATTGTTAGCAGTTTTAATTTTCGTTAAGAGTTATTATCCGAATAAAAGACAAATACAGAAATTTAGGAAGAAAAAGAAAAAATACAGAAAACAACGCAGTTAAAGAAAAATAATAAATGAAGTATCTTCTGTCTTTCTTTACAGCAGTTACAAACTCATTATCCCTTTCCCCCTTTAACATTACAATAATCCCTTCAGATCCTTTTGGAATCCTTTTCAGTCCTCAAATCCAGAAATTACCATTTCACAGATTTATATACTGGTTCACAGTGCTTTACATCCCTCTCTAAGTGGTTACAGAGTCAGCATATTGCCCCCAGCAATCTGGGTCCTCATTTTAGTGACCTCGGAAGGCTGGAAGGCTGGTGAGAATCGAACTGCTGGCAGTCAGCAGAATTAGCCTGCAATACTGAATTCTAAGCACTGTGCCACCACAATTGGGATTGGGACTGGAATTATGGCTGTATGTCATGATTGTAAGTTGAGGCACCACATATCAGACTTGATTTTACAACCACTTTTATGATGATTAAGTGAGGCACAGTTAAGTGAACCATATAATTGTAAATGCAAAATCATTTGATTCAATGGGCATTTTTGCCATTTTGATTGCATTTTTCATTGTTAAGGGAAATGTTAAAATATTTTAAACCTTTTAAAAAATAACCCCCTTGATCTACTTTTGTGATCCCAACTTGGAAAAACAAAGGAGCCAAGAGATCATTTTTCAAATTCTCTTTCCCTATGGAGAAACATAATTTCAAATTTTGCTCTTTTGGAAAATCTTTCTTGGTCTGATTTATTCCAGAATTGGAACATTTTTTCCAATTTTAGACCTATACTTATTCAAGGATTATTCATGTAGATCATTGAAATAAAAGTCTTCGTAGCTTGCCAATGATGGTAATTGTGAAAACTTCTCTTACAGGAATAAGCGGTCTCTCCAGTATACCACCTCTTTCAGCTGTTGCACCAGGGCCAATGACATCCATACCAGTTGTAGGAATGTCTCCACCTTTAGTATCTTCTGTTCCTACAGCAGCTGTGCCTCCTGTTGCTAATGGAGCACCAGCTGTTATCCAACCTCTACCAGCTTATGGTCATCCCGGTACGCTGAATTACCAACGTTTAGGTTTCCAGAGATTATACATATTCTATTTTATATTTAAAAGAAAAATAATTTGTGTTTTAAAATGAAATCACATATTTATGTATGACATCAGTGTAATTCTATTCTGAACATTAAGTTATCTGTTAAACTTATAATACATTATTTTCTTATAAAATATTATAAAGGCAAGTGCATATATTTACATATTTAAGCAAATCTAATATTAGACATGAGATTGTTATCTTTCTGAAGTATTGCTTGGCCTAAATTGTCTGCCACTTTTATAAATAATATCTATTTAGTGGTTTAGTTTCCACATTGTACTAAACCAAAATTTGGTTTGTTTGCTTTTGGCACATAATGCTGTAAAATCTAGTTGGCTTTCATTCTATAAACTGGCTAAATGAATTGTAGCTTAATACAGTGTGGGATCGGTTTCTCCTTTTACTGCAATATACTGGTTATATATTCCAGGTCTTTCTTAAGTCTTGGCAGAAAACTATTCAAGAAATATGTAATTACATGAAAGGAATACATAGGGAATTAGTTGTGTATAAACAATTTTATTGTACTGTACACAACCCACAGAAAATAAAATACCTTTATTAAATAGATACAGCAACAATGTGGACCATATCCATGCCCTAGGGAGGTATGAATAGGAAACAATGAATTGTCCATTATGAAATCATGCAAATGCTGCAGCTTAAGTAATTGTATCAGGTATCAAGATTGCAAATACATAATGGCATTTGTGTGATGACATCACAGTGCAAATGAAATAATTTTGGCATCGTGGTTTGCTGTGGATATCACGATCAATGTCAGACAACTCTAACCCTTGTTTAATACCCGGTCTTATATTTATTTTGCCTCACAAAGAGGCACTAGGTCTTATTTTCAGGGGATGCCTTACCTTAGGACTGCCGCAGCCAGGCCTCCCACGCCCCAACACCTGTCACGCTGCTGCTTGACTTCAGCGGCCGCTTGCTGCCACGTGCGGCCGGATGCCACCTGGTGCATTGTGCCAGTGCCACCGGTCATGGCAGGAGATCACATGGTGCTTCGGGCCGCCTGCTGCTGGTCGTAGCAGCAAGCGGTGCAGTGCTTCAGGCCATTTGCAGGAGGCTGCATGATGCTTCCCGTCAATGCCACCGGTAGTGGCAGGATGCTGCACGGCGCTTTGGGAGGAACAGCAACAGCCTGATGTGCTGTGCGACCTCCTGCTGCAAGGAGCGGCAACTGTGCGATGAGCCATGCAGTGCAACAAGTGTCGGGGCGTAGGAGGCTTGCTTGCGGTGGTCCTACCGGTAAGGAAAGGGAGTGCAGTGTGTGGGGGCAGCTCCACCCCCCCATCCCACCCTAACTTGATTTTTAGGCGTGTGCCTTGCCCCAAAACTAGGGCTTGTTTTCGGGGTAGGGCTTATATTAGGCCCACTCCCCAAATCAAGCTAGGGCTTATTTTCAGGGTAGGTTTTATTTTGCTTTTGAGGAAACGTGTTACATTTTGTACTCAGATTCTTTAATTAACTAAGAGATCTGTTATCAATTCATATTTTGTTTAATTGGTTAATATATGATTTAATATTAATTGTTATGATCCTTTGTACTTTTAAAAAAGTACAATGTTATAAGCAGTACTGTAATCTGTACATTAAAAAGTATGTTTGATAATTGCAATTTAAGGTAAAATAATTTGAATATTAATCATTTAATTTCATCAAATTTAAAACATAATTGTTATGTTTCAGCAACATTGCCAAAGAGTTCCTCCTTCAGTAGATCTGGTGGAGGATCCCAACTAAATGCAAAGCTGCAAAAAGCACAATCATTTGATGTGGCTGGGTAAGTAAGACTGTTTTGTTCTGAAGTATCGATACTTTGGCAGCTTTGTCAAAAATGTCAGTCCTGCAGATACTCAGATACCAATATTTTCACTAAATTTAAGAAGACTGCTTGTAAATAAGTGATATCAGGAATAAACTCTTTGCATATAATAGGGCATTTCAAAAATCTGAAATTAAAGAATTCATTCTGTTGAAAAGCTTGTTTGTGTAGAATAGAATAGAATTTTTATTATGATCACTGATTAGAATTGTGTAGAAGAATAATTATATATAGTCTTTAATATACTTTATATTGTACATCTGTTTTGTTATGAAAAGATAGTCATAGATTAAAGTTTTGTATAAATAATAAGATTTGGACTTATCTGGAAAAGTAATTAGCTAGATGTGATTTACACTGCTAACTATTCTTGTTACCATGTAATAAGTTCTCCATTTATTTTGATTATGCCTGTGTTTGGATGCAATTTTCTCCTTCCTCTACATCTGTTTTTGACACTGAAATTCTCCATTTTATTCCATCATGTATAGTATTTCACAGATATTCATTAATATATATTTAGCTGGTTTATTGCCATGTTTTGTCTTAAAGCATAATTTTATAAAAAAGCATTGTTATTTAGGAGAGAAGTTTTCTTAATTATTGCAATTGCAATTTTGTTGCAATATTGACCAGAATATATTGCTTATAATTGAACAAAATTGGTGTACTCATAAATGATAATAAATTTGAATTCTGGAGAATATTTATATTTTTTGTGGCCTCATGATCACGGAAACGTCTTCGGACAGCAGTCGCTTAATGGCCCTTGAAACAGAGATGAGTGCCATTCCCTGTAGTCCGTTACAACTAGCAGAGTAAAATCTGCAGGGACTCCTTTTCTTCCTTAAGATTCACTATCAAAATTTTATAGGCCAGCTTTTCCTAAGCAGATTCCTTTAAATGTGATGCACATCAAATTGATGAGAAGGCTTTGAATTGCAATCCAAGAACTTTTGGGGACACTTGAGCTGCTGGCATAGGATAAAACAAACTCCATTTTGCCAAACAAATGAACTTCAGTATAAAGAAATTTAAACAGTTAAGAATAAAGATGTGAGTTGCAAATGGTAATATGTCATATTTTATTAAATTTGGGTAATTTAAATTCTGAGATACATTGATTCAGACGTATTTTGAATGGTGTTAGTAATTCCTATTCATATACAGTCTTATTTTGGAGATCAACATGGGCATCTATTTTAACATTTGTTTCAATGAAGCCTCTCAGTAGGGTAGCAATGCTAGTATTCATAGAGTATGTTGGGAGGCCTCTGTATAGAACATAGCAATTAATCTTCTGCCAAGAATCTAAAGTTGTCTAAGATTAATGGGACTAGCTCTGTTTTAGCTATCTCTCAGTATCAGTATCTTCATCTGCATAAGAACCAAGAGAGAAAACAAGCAGGGAAAAAGGAGAGTAACCAGAGGCTGTGTGCTATTAGAGTTTGCATGTTCAGCTGTAAGATGTAATTTTTTTTTCTTTCCTGTGACTTGCTGCTTGCCTAATATGGGTGACTGAATAACTGTTCCCTGCTGAGAAAATAGAGACTGTAAGAGGAATAAAAGGCAGCTAGGTTCAAGAGAGCAAGCTCACTGAGCAAGAAAACGGAGTGCTAACAAGAGTTTTGAGTTAATCTTGCCAATTAAACTGTCTCTGAATGTCAAAGGGACTAAAAAGCTACCATAGAATGGAATATAGGGCTGATAAATTCTTAAGTAGTAAAAAATAGATGCAATTGTGCTTTATAAAAACACAAAGAAAAATGCACTCCTGCAAGAAATGCAATGTGATCAGGGTATACAATAAATATACAAAGAGCTATAGATTATTTAGTATGATATCAGTCCTTGGAATCATAAAGGCATTAATCTTAAACATTTAAAATTGTTACTAAAATTCAGCTTGAATTTGTTGGAATCAGTTTGACAAGATTTGTTTTTATCTTATTTTTTAATTATAGCTTACTTTAGAGTAAACTACAAACTGCTAGAAATCAACTCAGTTAAACAACAAGAAATATGGATCAAAGTGAAAGATTTTGGAAAACTAATGAAACTCAGGCTTACATGACAGTTCCGCATCGTGCTTGTAGTCGGCACAAATGGGATAGAAATTCATTATTTTGAACAATGAAATAATTGTATAGTGTGTTTTGGTAAGACTTTACCTTGAAATCCAGCTTTGGGCACCACATTTTAGAAAAGATTCGGAATAAACTAAAACACATTAAAAAAAACTTCCATAAAGATATCCAGGGATTAGAAACTAAATCCTATGAAAAGAAATTAAAGGAAATGATTATATTAAGCTTGATAAAACTAAAGAGAAACATGTTGGACCTCTTCAGTTGAATTAAAATCACAGGTGGAAAGATTCCAATTGAATATGAGAAAAAAAAACTTTTAAGCAGTAAAATCAGTTATCATTGTGGAAGTTTAGATAGCCAACTGACCAGGAAGTTTTTATTTAAATTATGGCACTAAGGCAGTGGTTCTCAACCTGTGGGTCGGGACCCCATTTGGGGTCGATCGACCATTTCACGGGGGTCGCCAAGCAAGGCTGTCCGCCATTTTTTTTGTCCACAATTTTTTTTGTCCACCATTTTTCCCCTTTTCCGGCGGGTGCCTTACCTCCCTTGGGCTGGACCAGCTGGTGGTCGGCCTGCTTCGTCTCTGCCGCTTGCCAGCTACGCCTCGGCCAGCGCAGGGGGTGGAACCACGCATGCGCGGCGCTCCCAGGTAGGGAAAGTCCCCGACTTATGACCGATTGGGTAGTCCTTGACTTATGACCATCTTAGTCCTCGGCTTACGACCGGTTTAGTCCTCGACTTATGACCGGTTGGGGTCGCGGCATTAAAAAGGTTGAGAACCACTGCACTAAGGAGAGGAGGGATTGATTTGATAGTCTAAAATGGTCTCTTTCAAATCTATTTTGCTTGGAATGTTAAAAATATAACAGACTGGGAATGGATAATCCCAAGCAGTAGGAATAAGAAGAAATGTTGAAAGCATTACTTTTATACACATTTGGAAGCACAAGTCATGGTTTGAGTCTTGAACTGGTCTCATAGTTCAAAGTGTTGACCTACTTTTTGACATTATCATTTAAGCTTTTAATCTGTGTTTCACATCAAGTACCTTTCAGATTGCTAGTACAATGGTTTAGTGACAAGTATGTTTATTGATGTGATCTTAACTACATACTGTTCATGTATTGTACTGGTAATATTGGAAACATATGGACGCTTTAAAATGGTCAGGAGAAGGTAATTATGAAGAAAAATCCAAGAAGTTAAAAAGAGAAAAGTATGAATATATATTAAAGGAAAATTTTATGGTAATGGAAAAGTTCATTACAACAAACATTTGTGGCCTAATGCTAAAAGAACTGTGAAAAACCACATTATAGAAAATGAAAATGTATCTTTTAAAAACTTGGTGAGAGGCATGCTGATTTTTTTAAGGTATTTTCACAGTGCTAATCCCTCTTTGCAGAAGTTCTATTGATCCAAGGTAGATGTAAAATGATAACTTAAGTGACCAACTTCAGTGGTATTAAAATGTTAAAGAACAAAGAGAAAGTTACTTTTAAAGAATCTAATCTAGAATTTAGTATTCTTGGAGCTGTGGTTTATTGTCTCTGTTCTATCTTTCCAGTGCATCTCCGGCAGTAGAGTGGGCTGTTCCTCAGTCATCAAGACTAAAATACAGGCAGCTATTCAATAGTCATGATAAAACAATGAGTGGACATTTAACAGGTATTAGAATATGCATATTAATGAACACTTTTAAAATTATATTCAGTTTAAATAAAATACATTTAAAGTATATTTAGTTTCAAAATATGTTTGGTTTGATTAATTCTGCTAAATACTTTGAAATTTGTGTAATGCAGTGGTTAAAAAGTCATGCCAATAATATATTAGTTATATTGGTGAAGGGGAATTTCCTGATTTAGAAGCGCTATGTCTCTAAATGCTAGCTATTAGGGAAATAAAAGTGAGCCAGCATCTATCTGGCCTCTTTTGGAAAACCTATGTTGCACAATGTGGAACTTTGATTTGATTCAGCTTTTTTATTTATTTATTTAACTTTAATCTTTCAGACCAAAATCCTCTTACAGCTGCCTGCAACCAATATAAATAGTTTAAATTAAAACTCTGTCAGTATTATTAGATAAACACACTTTTAGAATTGTTTTTTTTCCATAGAGCAGTTCGTGGTAATGGCTTTCTAGTCAAATACAAGCATAACTCATTTTACAATACCTTTTTTGAAATAACGCAGTTTTAAAAGCATTTATTTATTTATTTGTTACAGTATTCACAATCCCATGACAATTCTAAAGGAGACTCAGCAGCATACAATGTTAGCAAAAAGAACCTAAAAGCATAAATAATCAGGACATAAAAACAAAGTCAAAACCAAAAAATAATCATAAACAAAAATAATCCCCAAATAAAACAAAGATAAAATGTCCATAGTAAGTCTATAACGGTCAAAAATGCATGGTATATAGGTTTTAAACTGTTTCTAGAATTGCTGCAAATTGTTATACCTACTTCCAGGGGGAAAGTATTCCTTAAGGGAATGTATTCCATAAGGTGGAGGCTATTACAGTGACAGTCTGCTGTCATATCCATATTCGAAGGCAACAAAAGAGAAGGGAACTTTTGGCAGACTTTTTCTTGAGGACCAGTCTGGATTGGCCAGACTGGATGAACAGATTCAGTTCTAACACGATATTAACCTGATGAGAGCTCTTTAACTATTGCAAGTGCTTTGTCAAGTTTATGTGCATTTTTGCCTCCTTCCATTCTCTCATTGTGACTGTTAGGTGGAATATTTTTAAGGCCAATACTATCTCAACAGTACAACATATACCGTACATAAAATAAAATTAAGTATTTTGCATTACCCATTTCTAAGGTACAACATTTGTTCAAAGGCAAATCATAACAGAGTAGACTGTGAATCTACGCTGTATATACAAAAGCAGTATGATATACTTCCCTTTTAATTTTTTTGCTGTTATAAATACTGAACTTATTGGTGGAAATTGAGCTATAAAGGAAGTCTCTTATTACTTAGCTTTCATCAATATTCTTAAAAAGAAATACGGTATACATGAAGTATGTAACTCTTAACATATTAAAGATTGCCTTCTGAAACATGTTCAAAAAGTTAACTAATCCAGAATGTGATGCTCAGGAATGAAGCAGTATTTGAAGACTATCTGTTTCTAAACATCTAGAGAAGTTGTCACTTCACTTTTGAGTTTCATTTATGACTGTACCTTTCTAAAATGGCTTTAATTTTGATATGTGAACCACCTTTATCCTGTGAACAATCTGTATTTTCTATTGAGGCCCTGTGCAAAAGATCATGGTATGGAAATGTTAGTCATATTAGTATATAGCAGCAGAAATGAGACAATAGCACCTTTTTTAACTAACAAGTTTTATTAATGGAAATATCTCTGTGTATACATACATAAAATGTAATATACAAAGCTGTAGAACTAATCGTTCCATTGATTAGAAACATTTCCCTTTGCCATTAAAACATGTTGATTATCTTTGGAAAAGTAGTTATTAAGAATTGTTTTTACATTTCTTTGGAATAGAAAAGATGTTTTCCTAAAGGGCTGCATTGTTTATGAATATGTTCTATAAATATTTCATCATAGTCCACTGGACTTAGGCAGCTACTAAATTTGAATAAATAAAAAAATCAAGGCAACCATTTTGAAAATTCTGTATTAAAATGTATCATTGTGGCATGTTTCTTATTTATTAGGTCCACAAGCAAGAACTATCCTAATGCAGTCAAGTTTACCACAGGCTCAGTTGGCTACAATATGGTAAATATTTTTTCATAAAATTGCTTATGATCAGTTTGTTTTTCAGATCTCACTTGTTTGCTTTATTTCAGAGTTAAATTATCAATAAACTTCAGGTTAGACATTCCTTTTTTCCCCCCTCAATAGGAATCTTTCAGATATTGATCAAGATGGAAAACTGACAGCCGAAGAGTTTATTCTAGCTATGCATTTAATCGATATGGCTATGTCAGGACAGCCATTGCCACCTGTGTTATCCCCAGAATATATTCCTCCTTCATTTAGGTAAAATTTACAGCTTTTCATTTTGATGCTGAATTTTGTCTTTCGAATTCTAGTCATGATATTGCTGCATTTTAGATAGCTTTATTATGTTTGGAATATAATGTCCAAGCTGTCATTTCTTCTAATTTAGAGAGGTGACTTTTTCTTTTTTCTAAATTTATTAATCAAATTTATATTATGCTGTAATCATAAACAGTCACCTGGGGACACCACCACCACCACCCAAAAAAAAATCCTGAAGAAAAGCTCTAGTTTTTCTACTTTTTCCAGAAGGCAGATAAGGTTGGGGACAAACTAACCTCCAATGGAAAGCTATTCAAGAGACTCAGCCCCATCATGGAAGAATAATGATTATGGGTTTTGGTCCCCTGACCAGTAAATCCAGCACAATCAGGCTGACTCTAATGGGGAGATGTGGTACTACAGATAAACTGATACCAAACTACCCAACCTTTTTACAAGATGGGCAGCCATATAAGTCTTTGAAATAAGCAAACAAGCCAGCAAGCCATAAAGGGCTTTATGGGTTAAAGCCAGCATGCTAAATTGCATCCAGAAACTAATAATCCATTGCAGGGCTCACAAGGTCGGTGTAATGTATGTCTACTGGTGAACATTTTTTAGAATACAGGCCACTGACTTTATGTTAACTGAAGCTTTTGAGTGGTTTTTAAAGGAAGCCCTAGGTAAAGCTTGTTATAATAGTTAAATCAGGTACTGATGAGGTCGTGGGCCACTGCAGTCAGGCCCCTCATGACCCAAGTGAAGTGGCAACTAACACACAAGGCTGAAGCTGGGCAAAGACACCCCCCCTCCACTACCACCTCCATCTGCTAATCCAGCAAAAGCTGTGAGTCCAAAAGGACCCTCAGATTTTGGACCTGCTCCTTCAAGAGCAGTGGAATCCCTTACAAAGGCAAAACAGCCATAGAGGAACCCCAGTTTCAAACAATAGCTCTGTCTTACTGTTAAGTTTAAACCTGTTTAAGATTTCATGTAGTTGTCAAATAAATTATTAAATTGAAGTACCCTCATTTGGACCAAACGGAGTTCATTAATGAGTTCATTAATGAGAGTGACTGATGCTGTCTTTGTCCTGTACCTGGATTTGAATCTTGACTGAAGAGTCCAAACAATCTGCTGATCAATAAATCTAGCATCTGAACAAATTTTATTTATTTATTTATTTATTAATCGCATTTATACCCCGCCCTTCTCCTAGTGGACTCAGGGCGGCTTACAGCCAGTTTAAAACAGAATAACAATACAATATACAAATTTAAAATGTGGTTAAAATAAAATATTAATATAGGCCTTTCTTTTATTTTAAAATTATTTAAAAACCAAATTTAAAATACCCCTTAGGC